TTTATTTCTGAAGTTGAGAATTCCAACAGTTGGTGACACAATTCTTGGACTTGGTTAGAGAAAAGTTACCGCTGTAGCTGCGATGCTTTGTGAAATTAGTTTTTTGGAACTGCGATTAATAGTGCAGCGTCTAGCGTCAACGCTGCTGTCGTTTCTTGTTTTTTTTATAAACTGAGCTAAAGGGCTATTTACGTTTGTGACTCTTGCTTGCGTAATCTTGTAAAAGTTGTATTAAAAAAACTCAATATACTGTAACGATTGTTTAATTTAAAAATGGTTTATTTATTTAAAACAGTTTATTTATAATTTGTTTAAACCAATTACTATTTAATTTATTTATACCTAAGCACTAATTTATTTAAAAATTTACTTATACTAATTTATTTTACATTTACTTTATCTATGTTCTCACAGCTACGACTCGACTTCAACTTACTGACTTCCTGAGCACCACAGCTCATTTATATATAAATTGGTATATGCGCTAGATTATTTTCGTTCCCATCATTTATTATACAGGCGTATCTCGAATTTACTTCCATAAAGGCTGGGTTCTAGTTCATTCCCTAATGAATAATTTATAGCTAAAGGGGGTTTATCCCCGTAGTCAAATATTACTGGTTTGAAGAACAAGTGGGATCGTAAAAAGATCCAAACAAGACATACGGACCCAAAGAATTAGATCATTTCAAGAATGGTAGGAAATGGCTTACATTACAATACAAACATACTCTTTTATTCTTTTATACCATGAAAAATTTAAAATGAAAATTTATTAAAATAGCAATATATCAAACATCGATACAAATCGTTACAATTTACAAAAACTTATTCTTTTAGTTCCTCTCGGACGTTTGCAATATTACAACAGTTTAAACATTAACAAAACAAGCAGGAAGCATGCCCTGCCGCATACAAAGGCTTCAAACTTCATCAATTATAATCACCTTTTAAAAATTCAACAAAAGACTAGACAGAAAAAAAAAGACTTAAGTGAGGATTGAGGTTCAAACCTCTTGCCGAAGGCGAGAAGTCTCGTTTTCGGGACCCTAAGTCCCGATGCAAAGTAATTAACAGCTATCCGTAAACTAGAACAAATTCAAAGAATAACATGCCTCAACATAACAGGAGCCATGAAAACAACACCGACTAGAGCCATGGAAGTCATTCTTAGTCTCACTCCCCTTGATATTTACATCATAGAAGTTGCTCTGACGACAATGGCATGCCTCCACACGGTTGGAATAGAACCTGATGTAGGATCTGGCGAGGCGAGACTTCGCTTTTGGCAGAATGCGCTCGATACGCTCCCACTGCTTCAAGTGAACATGAACTCAATCTCACCGAGCTTCCATAAGCCATATAAAGTTATAATAAAACAAATAGAAGAGCCGGAATTGGCAGATACGATTCATATCTACATCGACGGTTCTAAAACAAAACAAGGCTCAGGATGTGGAATATACTTCAGATTCTTAAACCTAAACATAAAATGAGCTGTGAGCAATAGTGGAAGTGTAGTTCAAACAGAGCTAACAGGGATTCTCATAGCAGCAAAAGAAATAACCAAAAATAATGTCACTGGATGGAAAATGCTCATCTATACAGATAGCAGACAAGCACTTCTCACCCCAAAACAGACCACTAATTTACTCAGAGTTAGTACTAGAATGTGACGAAGCTTTGGCCGAAGTATCTGTCAACAATGTAGTCACCTTAAGATGGATCAAAGGTCACGCACTTCGAAAGGGCACCGTCTTGCTGATTCACTAGCCAAGAAAGCAGCCAACCAAATACATTTTGGACCTGGCCCTTCTATTAGCCTGACAAAATCGGTAGTGACAGACCCAATCAAAGAACATTTCCTTGTGAAATTGAAGGAAAGATGGGATGAAACAAGAAACTGCAGAGTTGCCAGGGAGTTCTTAAGTTATCCTGACACTGCAGCAAACAAATACTTGACTATGACTCGACAGAATCTACGCCTAGTCACAGGCATTCTGACTGGTCATTTCCAAGTCCGGAAGCATCTCCATATCATGGGGCTGTCAGAATCAGCACTCTGCAGAGGGTGCGAACAAGAAGATGAGACTATCGAGAATATCCTTTACGATTACTCAACGCTCTCATTTATTAGAAGATTTGTCTTTTAAAAAATCAAACTACCGATATTATAAAAACTCTAACACCACTAAATATTAATAAAATATTAATTTTTTTAAAAAACTAGCAGCCAGAAGAATATTTTCCATCATCCCGATTTTTCATTATATGACGTCTCACCCCTGTCCATAGTAACCGGACGAGACCACCGTATTGTTTACGAACCGTGGGTGGGTACGGTTCAGGCCTAACACGCACCTTTATAAATAACCCCGTCTCTCTAATTTAGGGATGCGCGATATACTTAAAAGTATCTGAACGTAAAGTGTCCATAGTCCCGATATCAAAAGTTGTATTTAATAGCATGAATTATTAAAATATGACAGCTTAATAATTTACAGTTACATTACAAAAACAACGACATAATATGACAACCTTGCCTTCTAGATCTTTAAAGCACCTACCTATAAGTAATCGATATAGTAAACTTTTTAGAATACTCTTTGGAACAATAAACTCAGTCTGATTAATTCTCGTAAATATGCCAACAAAAAGAGTAATTACCCGCTTCGTCTAAATGATATTTAAATTAATTAATTAATTAATGTCAACCGTTAATTTGTATAATTGGCACATCACATTCTGATTCAATTAATTTTCTCTTTATCACGAATCTCTGCTAGTCTGTATTTTGATTCGAAATAAAAATATTTCTGATTTAATGAAAATTACTATGGATGAGTTTTAATTCAAACAAAAAACAAGCACCGAGAAAATGCTTCGAAAAAAATTCTTCGAAAGACAGGGTAATGTAGTCAGAGAAAGGGTTAGCCGTTGAAGCTAATTTCAGAAATAGGATGAATCTGCTCAACTATGTTAGTTAGTAATAAATATAAATCGATCATCATTTTATCACTCAAATTGTACACAAATTTAGATATTATAAAAAAGTGGTTAACGCTTTAATTATAAGCAATGGCACGAGTGTGAAGTGATATTTCTTTTCTAAAGATTGGAACTGACATCAGTTTGAAGTTAAAAAAAAAAATCAAACTACATACTTCAAAATTATATTCAGAGAGAGAATATAAAAGGTGAGTTCGGGCTGCGCACTCCAAAGTAAAGTGGAGTGAAGTAAGTAGGCGTAAACGGAGTGCGTATATCGTTTTACTCCTTTTACTCTCAGAATTCAATATCAGTTGTCAATGTGACATACTTATACTTAAAACCTAATCGTACTTATCAGTAACAACCGTATAAGTTTCTTCCATATTAATGGTATGCACGAAAACCAAATAAAAAGCATTTTTACTTAAGAATTAGTCACAATAATTATCTTATTATCGATTTAAATCACCTTCTGCGCATGCCCAATCCACACTCCACTGACACTCATATGACACTCAATTTTAATAATAATTATTTAATGCACAACAAAATATAACATACAAAAAAATTCGTTTTAATAAAAGTTGTATATAAATATCCGTGTTTTATTTTTACTGGATCTCGGTGTCTTCTCAAAATCCTGTTCGTCCTTTCTTATTGAATTTTATTTGGAAGGATATGTATCAATTCTTTGCCAAAGTTTAATTCCCTGGTGAACGGATGAATAAATCTGAATATGGAAATAGCCTGTAGAAAATTGATATCTCTGGGATAAATAATATACAATGTAATATATTTCAAGAAATGAAAGGAGAAAAAAAATTGTTCTTTTTTATTTGAAACCTCATAGGGATTGAAGTAATAAAACTAGAAGAATCCAATCATTACTGAATTTTACACAGTGGCGTACTAAAATATTAATGAAACCAAAATTGAACTAAAATTGAACTAAAATTGAACTAAAATTGAACTAAAATTGAACTAAAATTGAACTAAAATTGAACTAAAATTGAACTAAAATTGAACTAAAATTGAACTAAAATTGAACTAAAATTGAACTAAAATTGAACTAAAATTGAACTAAAATTGAACTAAAATTGAACTAAAATTGAACTAAAATTGAACTAAAATTGAACTAAAATTGAACTAAAATTGAACTAAAATTGAACTAAAATTGAGTTAAAATTGAACTAAAATTGAACTAAAATTGAACTAAAATTGAACTAAAATTGAACTAAAATTGAACTAAAATTGAACTAAAATTGAACTAAAATTGAACTAAAATTGAACTAAAATTGAACTAAAATTGAACTAAAATTGAACTAAAATTGAACTAAAATTGAACTAAAATTGAACTAAAATTGAACTAAAATTGAACTAAAATTGAACTAAAATTGAACTAAAATTGAACTAAAATTGAGTTAAAATTGAACTAAAATTGAACTAAAATTGAACTAAAATTGAACTAAAATTGAACTAAAATTGAACTAAAATTGAACTAAAATTGAACTTATTATATTTTTATTTAATTTTCGTTATTAAAGTGTTTTAATTTTACACGGCGGAGTACCAAATATGTAATAGATCGAAAATTGAACTAGTTGGGCTAAAATTGGGCTAAAATAAGTTTAAAATTGGGCAAAAATTAGTCTAAAATTTGGCTAAAATTAGGCTAATATCGAATTAAATTTGAACTAATAGTTATTTTGTGTACCAAGGACGCAAAGGTGATCTCTTTGGCAGAATCGGAAATTTGCGGCCGAGGTGTAGCCGAAGTCAAGCAACTTCTGCTTAGGCCAAAAAAGATCATATGGCCGAGGTGCACACAATATTTTTTAGGCGGCCAAAAATGGTAATAAATCCGTAAAATGTCATTTTTATGACGGTCGCCTAAAAAATGGTCTTACAGTTCATTTAAAATTCCAAGTCTTTATACCACTTTTAACTGTTTTTTCGAACGATATTTATCTATTAGTCTATGTTTCTTTTGGTACAATTTTTTGTTCCAGAACATGAACATTTCGAAGCTGATCGTCAAATTTTTATGCCTTTGCTCACCGTTGAAAGCGTTCTGCTCCGCGAGTCCACTTCCCGTTAACGAAGAAGAGTTTCGATACTTCAACGTCGGCGTCCTCATGGCATCGCAGATGAACTATCCGTTCGACCTTGAACGCTGCGGACCCGCCATCGATATGGCTTTGGAAGAAGTCAACGAGATATTTCTTGCGCAGCACAAGATTAGACTGATGAAAGTGCAAAGCAGGTAAGAACATTTAAGCTATATCCATGAACATGCTTTGTGTATTGTGGCAGTCAGATTAATCTAGTTTCCTTGTCTGTGATTTGAACTCTGTTTAAAATCCATTATAAAGCATGAATATAATATAATCTAAAGACTGTTCTTGCGGTTATATTAAACTGTGTCCGCGCCTGATTTTGATGTATTTTTTTGCTTGTGAAAAATTCTATATTTCGCACAAATAATGATAAAAGCCTGTTATTTGCTATTTGTATGTATAATATCAACGTGTTCCCTGGAATTTTTCATCTCCGTCTGAAGCTGCCCGAGTACTTTTGATGCAGTATCAAGAGTTAGTTGAGTAAATCACTATCAGACGCTTGAATATGGACGTCATTCGTAAGCAGGGGTAGAGAAAAACTTAAAAATTTGGCTTTTTTGAAGATTAGGTAGAAATGGGTAGAATAGTAATAAGGTAGCATAGTGTAAATATTGGGAAATATAATAAATTAGGGTAGGATAGTGTAGAATAGTGTAGAATAGTGTAGAATAGTGTAGAATAGTGTAGAATAGTGTAGAATAGTGTAGAATAGTGTAGAATAGTGTAGAATAGTGTAGAATAGTGTAGAATAGTGTAGAATAGTGTAGAATAGTGTAGAATAGTGTAGAATAGTGTAGAATAGTGTAGAATAGTGTAGAATAGTGTAGAATAGTGTAGAATAGTGTAGAATAGTGTAGAATAGTGTAGAATAGTGTAGAATAGTTTAGAATAGTGTAGAATAGTGTAGAATAGTATAGAATAGTGTAGAATAGTGTAGAATAGTGTAGAATAGTGTATAATAGTGTATAATAGTGTAGAATAGTGTAGAATAGTGTAGAATAGTGTAGAATAGTGTAGAATAGTGTAGAATAGTGTAGAATAGTGTAGAATAGTGTAGAATAGTGTAGAATAGTGTAGAATAGTGTAGAATAGTGTAGAATAGTGTAGAATAGTGTAGAATAGTGTAGAATAGTGTAGAATAGTGTAGAATAGGATAGAATAGTGAATAATATATTACTGGGATAAATTTATTTCGAATAAAACCCATAACAGGCAGCATAATATAGTAAATTGAAACATCAGATTGTATGTAAGATATAGTGTGGCAAATTAGAACGTTTTCCTTTTTAAAACAATTTATAAAATCAGCGCCTGCGCATTTCGGTATTTAGTGCAAGTACCAATTTGATTGTTTAATATTTTCATATTGCTGAAGGTGTATTTTGCTTTATAATGTTGCCTCTAACTATCAAGAAGTTCACATAATCATTGATTATTTAGAATAGTTTTTATAGTCTCTTCTTTTAACATGTTCAACATAGATACCACGAAGTATTTATGACCACAGACAACTCACCATACGATTTATAGGGACAGTGCGTCATGACTTTAAGCTAACTGGTGACAAAAATGCGAACTTTATGGGGTGTATTTATTAATGTTTTATACGGCATTTATTGTTTAATAATTATTAATTAAATAAAGTCGAATTATTTTCGTAATATCATTATCGAAAAAACTTGTTGCATCCGTGGATGTAGAAACACATCACTTTGGAAACCTGGATTTCATTCGATAGTAAGGAAATTTTATAAAGGACCCCGCAATAATCTTATGGAAATTGGGTTTCTGTCAAATTGTCTGAATTTTTGATATGTTGTAGATTTTGTCATCCTAAACAAAAGTCTCCATGGGCACAAAGTGCCAATTGAATATTTTGGCAGCTACGGAGCTGCCAAAGCTCCCCTGACCCGTTGCAAAACTATTCATTTTCAATACTATTTGCAGATGTCAAAAGCATATTTTAATTATTCTAATATATAGGGTAAAGTTTTTGAGGTCACTCAATTCAACCCTCATGTCAGATTGTACAAATTGACCGTTGGCAGCTGTCAATTCACTGTCAACGAGGAATATAAAAGTAAATATCCTCTTTTCACATTGAGAGTTTGGGTTTTTGAGGTCGCTGAATCCAATTTTTATGTCAGATTGGACAAATTGACAGTAGACAGCTGTCAATTGACTATCAACGAGGAATATAAAAGTAAATATCCGCTTTTCACATTGAAAGTTTGAGTTTTTGAGGTCACTGAATTCTATTCTCATGTCAAATTCGACAAATTGACAGTTGACAGCTGTCAACTGTCAACGACCTCAAAAACCCAAACTCTCAATATGAAAAGGGGATATTTACTTTTATATTCCTCGTTGACTGTGAATTGACAGCTGTCAACGGTCAATTTGTCCAATCTGACATGAGGGTTGAATCCAGTGACCTCAAAAACATTACCCTATATATTAGAATAATCAAAATATGCTTTTGACATCTGTAAATAGTATTGAAAATGAATAGTTTTGCAACGGGTCAGGGGAGCTTTAGCAGCTCCGTAGCTGCCAAAATATTCATTTTTGCACTTTGTGCCCATGGAGACTTTTGTTCAGGATGACAAAATCTAGTACATATCAAAAATTCAGACAATTTGACAGAAACCCAATTACCATAAGATTATTGCGAGGTCCTTTCCACAGAGCATAACAATTAATGTCTCACACCCAATGATATACATAATTACAAAGATTTTGCTGCTTATCCATATGTAAATCAGACGACGAAAAGCGTATTTCACTTGGCAAAGTTTTCTTTTAATCTAGCTTGTATCAATTTTGAGCACTTAGTTGTAAAGAAATCATTTACAGAACCGTTTTAGAAATTAGAATCTTAAGTGTTTTCTTGTCATTAAGGGCCGATTCCATCGTTGTGTTAAACGGAGATTAAAATGACGTTGTTAATGTAAAAATGTCATTTTAAACTTCATTTAACACAACGGTGGAATCGGTCCTAAGATTTTTGCATATTTAAATGAACATTTTATATAAATATAATTTTACAGATAATGGTTTATTCTGTTGATCAAAACTAATGTAGAATGTTATTATGAAATAAGAATGTCTAATTTGACAAAAATATAATGGCCCTCTTTACAATTTATTGACTATTTCTCATTTATCACTAAAATAAACAAATCATAATTAATACATTGCAATTACTGTCAAAAAAGATTGCAACAAACTTTAAAATATTAAAAATCCAATGATTTTTTGTAAATTTTTTTAGTGACATTACCATTAAACATTATTCAGAATAATAGATAAGTGTTCAATTACAACTCTAACCAAAGTTGTTTATACCTCATATCAAAGTTGTTTACATCACCTTTTCAAAATTGTATTACATATTGCAATTAAGTATTTTATGTAGTATTATTTCTGAAATGAGAGTAGTCTAAAATTATTTATATCCATCTGTTATAATTAATATTATTTAACTACATGGAAACTCAACTTTCTAAATACATAATAACATGTCTTGAAGTATAACTTTAATTATTTTCTTTTTCTAAAGATTAAAATGCTGAAATTTTATTTTAAAACACATTTGGGCTAGAACGGCTCTATTTAGTGAGCACTAGGAAAGGCACATCGCAACCCGCTTTTCATATTTTTTTATAGATGGGCGAGCAATCTATAATATGTATCATTGGACATCTCATAAACGTCAGTGGATGAATGACATTTGGACTAACATAAAGCTAAAAATATTTATTATTATTATTATCAATCTTTTTTATTAATTTTCATTTTTTAAATGTTATTGTAATACTTTTAAATTCAGTGTTACTAAATACCGATATTTTGACATTGGATACACTTGTTTAAGGTACAACTTTACAATTTATTGTCACTTAGCCATTTAAATCTTTTTGCTTAAAATGTATATACATGTCCAGATTTTAATAATGTTTCACATTTTACGTCATTTTGACCATGTACACGATTGTTTGGTACGGGCCGGTATCTATTTCTAACTATATTTAATATTTTAAAAAATATCTTTTATTATTTACTTGCAATGTTTACCCCATTTAATTCTAAAATTAAACACTAGAGAGGGCTAACTTCGGCAGTAGTGCTGCCTCTATATTTCACGCACGGTTCCTATATCTGAAAAAGTAATCGAAAAATGTAACAATCTTTTGCAAAGCTAACAGAACAAACTGAACTAGTCTCAATCGCATTTTGGAACGTCTCTCAGTATGAAGTAATAAAAAGAAGTACAAATCTATGCAAAAACAACTTCCGAGTAAATGGGGCGAAATATCTTGGGAATGTGAGCTTTATTCTTTCACGGATCGCTTCCTTTCACTCTACTTTATTAAATTATGGACTAAAAATATCGTCCAGTGACTTTTCTGCTTCGTAATATGACGTTTAAGGTACAGAGGCAGTAGTAAGACTCGAAACGGATGGTCAATTGTGTATAAATACAAAAGCGTTATTTTGAAACAAAAATGTTTAATGTCTTTAATCATATAAATACTAGATTGGTAACGCGTAACTGCTCTGTACCTTCTATTTTGTTCCATAATTTTGGTGATATTTTATCTATTGGTGTGTTTCATTCCAAAACGGGTTAAAGGTTAAATAATAATTAAAAGGTCAGTAAAAAATTTATTAATGAAAACTTTTAAATAAAAGTGTTATTATTTTTTAATAAAACAATACTGTTGTGCAAATACGCAGATCATTTGGACCAAAATAAAATACCTTAATACAAGAGCGGCCATGCCAATTCCCCCTAGATGAAAATTCTTACAATCAATGCGCCTTTTAATAAAATAAAATGCTAAAAAGGAAATGGCTATAAGTCGACCTGGAGCCTTGATAAAACGTCACTGTAGAAAAAGGTACATGGTGTTAAAGTTGAAGTTTTTTGGGAATAATTTCACAATACCATCAATTAAAATTGGCATAACTTCAAGAAGGAAATATGATTTTATTTATTATTTAGATTTTGTTACAGGTAACGCCAAACTGTTTAGTAATTTTTATTAGAAATTATGATATAAACATAATGTTTATGTAAAATTGTTATATTTGTTTAAATTTGACAATTTTAACACTTTTCTTGAAAACCCAATTGAACATTT